CAACAAAATTGCTAAGCCCAATGAAAAAGGTTAGAAAAAACAAAACAAACTGCTCCCTGACACAGGTCATAGCATAAAAACGTGTCTACTTTGACACAAACTCTCTTGGTTTAAAGAAATCTCTCAGAATTGGGATACCTAATTTAGATTACATTCATGTTCCAAGGAATACTAACCCAAGGAATGAACGTCAATACCCCGATAGTATTTGTGAATAAAAACTATTTCTTTCTTTTTTTCTTTTCTTTTTTTTACATTTTTTAATTAAATTATTATCTGTGTACATATTTTAACATTGCCCCCCCGCATACATACCCTCCCTCCCCAGAGTTTTATGTCCATTGGTTGTACTTATATGCATGTATACAAGTCCTTCGGTTGATCTATTATCTCCCCCAGATCTCCCTCCCCTCCCCGCTGTAATTTGACAGTCTGCTTGTTGCGTTACTGTCTCTATATCTGTCTTTTGGTTCGAGAGAGGCAACCTTTCCTCAGGATGTCCACAGATACTTTTTTTAAAAATCTTATAAGAGCTCAAATACAAATAATATAGCCTATGAGGGACAAGTCATCATGGATAAGATTCAGGAAAATAAGTAAATGGAGCCAGAGTGACAAGGATGTCAATATTAAAATTATTAGTGATTATTCAAAAATATATTTTAAATCATTGGTACCTAAAAGGAGAGATTAAAAACAAGAGGAAAACTCAATATATTACTGAAACACTCTAGCTGATAGAGGAAAAAAAGTTAAACAGAATCTCTAGAAATTGGTTATTAAAATAAAGAATCTTGATAAATAAGTTAAACAGAGAAAAGAGCATACTAAGAAAATAGGAAATTTGTATAAATTGATAAAAATAGCTGAAAATGTTGCCTAGAGCACAACACAGACAGAGGTGGATATGAAGAATAAATATATATTTCTCACCTGGAGTGTTCTAGTTGTATTTTCCTCTATCATACAAACACTCCATGTAATAAAGGAAAGCTGACTCTCATTATACTAAGAAGATCTGAAGTAGAGACCAGCAGCACTATTTACTAACAATGACGCTGGGCAAATTTATAACCTCTCTGCAGGAAATGAAAGGAAGTGATAAAAACTAGTGCATACTGAGCGCCAATTAAAAAATAGCTGCCGGTTTGGCTCAGTGGATAGAGCATTGGCCTGTGGACTGAAGGGTCCCAGGTTCTATTCTAATCAAGGACACATGCCTGGGGTTGCAGGCTGGATCCCCAATAGGGGGCATACAGGAGGCAGCCAATCAATGATTCCCTCTCATCACTGATGTTTCTCTCCCTCTCCCTTCTTCTCTGAAATCAATAAAAATATATATTTTAAAAAAAAACACACACACACAAAACTAGCTGCCTCTGCAAGTGTCAGGGCTTCACAACATTCTGTGAAGTTGATAACATAGCCTCTACTTTTGTGTCAAATGTAACTGATGTTTTAATACAATCACAGAACGGTCCATAACAATATATAGATACTAAACTCTATAACCAAGAAGTGTGGTACTAGTATTTTCTCCATTTATTCATTAGGGAATTTAGACATGAAAGAAGCAATACTGGGAAATTTCACATGTTAATTATAAAATGTTTACTTTATAATAAAACAAAATAAAATAAAATAAAATAAAATAAAATAAAATAAAATAAAATAAAATAAAATAAAATAAAATAAAATAAAATAAAATAAAATAAAATAAAATAAAATAAAATAAAATAAATAAAATAGAGGTGAGGCCCAACCAGTCTTGTTCAGTGGTAGAGCCCAGGTTGAGGGCTCAATCCCCAATGGAAGGCAGGCAGGCAGCAGCCAATCAATAATTCTCTCTCATCATTAATATCTCTCTCTCTCCCTCCCTCTCTGAAATCAATAATACATTTATAAACAAACAAATAAATGTGAGGAACCCAAACTTTCGAGATATTAAGTAGTATACACATAGTCATGTAGGTAACTTGAATGTATCCACATTCATGTAGGATCTAGATTTAAATAAGACTCTGGTTTAAATCTAGATCTAGCCTGACTTCAAATCCATGTTCTCTTCTATTTCAGAGTTTTCTTTAGCTATAAAACAATCATGATTATAAAAGCAGAGAATTCAGATTTCCATGAAAATGTGACTTGAAATTGCAATGCACGGCATAAATCTTACCATTGTATTTAAACTATAGGCAGGGATTCCTGTAGGGAATATAAACAACAATACTGTAATAACTAAGTCTGATGCCTGAAGGGTAGCAGACGGATCACTTATGAATGGGACTAATAGTGTTTGGGACTGACTGTACCACTTTCCTGAACGTTCAAGCCCCTCAGGCTACTTCATGAATCAAATATGCTTTACACCAGAAAATAAGTCTCATAGAAAACATGTATCACTAATATAATGCTATTTTTGATAAGCAGATTTAGCAAGTTATAAAACATACTCACAATCAAAAAGAAAACATTGCTCCACCTCCCATCAGTACTAGCTCCCTTAGTCCATGAGCCCATGCTATAAAGGGGCATAATTATTGAAGATAGTACTGATTTCTCTTGAGTGCATGAATGAAGCAAGAAATTGGTCTATATTTAAAAACGCGTTAGGGGCAACATAGTTGTTCAAGTGGAGAAAATGTTATTTGTTGGTAATCAGCAGTTTCCATGGTTAGGTTGATTAAAATTATATTAAGGCCCTAACCGGTTTGGCTCAGTGGATACAGTGTCGGCCTGCGGACTGAAGGGTCACAGGTTAAATTCTGGGCAAGGGCATGTACCTTGGTGATGGGCACATCCCCAGGGTGGGGTGTGCAAGAGGCAGCTGATTAATGTTTCTCTCTCAGCGATGTTTCTAACTCTCTATCCCTCTCCCTTCCTCTCTGTAAAAAAAATAATAAAATGTATTTTTTAAAACTACATTAAGATTTAATTTATGGAGATCCAGGCAAGGAAGGAAAACTGCAGAAAGCAGGTTGTTAACATTAGCAAGATCATCCCAAAATCAAGTCAGCTTTTTCTCAGTTGTCCACTCTTTTTATGCTTAAAGTCCCTTCGGAACCAAACATTTCTTTGACATCATCATCCTCTTTACTCTTTTATAACTATTTTCTACTTACTGTCTCAGATTTTAATCATCTGAGAAGGTTGATAAGAACTGAAGTTAATGGAACTAGTTAGAATTAGTTTTTTAAATACCCATAACCCCTTATTCTGTTTTATCCCTTTTGTCATTCATCTTACATAGAACCTCAAGATGGTTAAGATACTTATTATCCTGTAAAATAAATGAACCCCACATGATGTCAGAACCAAATTATGACTCTTACATATGTCTTACCAATAATATCCTATCTAATAAAGAGGGAATATGCTAATTGACCATCACTCCATCACAAAGATGGCACCCACAGCCGAGGCCAATGTCCCATAAGGATCCTTACTGAGCCATCAACAGGGACCTGAGGCTATGCCCATCCCTGCCCCAGCAAGACTTGACAGGAGACCTCAAGGTGTGCTTCCTGCCCCAGTGCCAGGCCAGGGAACCTCAGGCCATGCCCCCCGCCCCCCACTAGATGGGGCTTGACAGGGGACTTCAGACTGCATCCCAGGACACGGCCAGGGGACCTGAAGCTGTACCCTCCTGCCTGGCTGGGCTTGACAGGGGACCTCAAGCCGTGCCCCCACCCAGAAGGGCTTGACTGGGGACCTCAAGGTGCACCCCCAGTGCTGGGTCAGGGGAACTCAGGCTGCACCCTCCGCCCAGCAGGGCTTGACGGGGGACCTGAGGCTGTGCCCCCTTCCCAGCAGGGCTTGACAAGGGTGAGACTAGCCAGGTCTGGATCTAGCCCCATGACGGGGGGCCGGCCGGGTCTGGGTCTCACGCGATTTTGAGGTGCATGAAGGTGGGCGGGGACTTGACTCTGAGTCCCATGGTGAGCCCCAGACTCTGACAGGAGGAAGGTTTTCATATACATTTTACTAATTTTCTTTCATCTCTGACACTTCTATTATAGAGAAAGAGCAAATAGCAATATTAAATTATGTCCTCTATTTAATCCCCTTTTAATGTGCATGAATTTTGTGCACCAGGTCACTAGTCTTATTATATACAGCTACATGGCCTAAAACTACATTTATAGTTATATATATAGTTATGTATATTTGGATAGGTAAATTTATACAAATGCATTTATATTAGCATATACTTATGGTCATTCTCTCAAACTTAAGAACACTAGTTGTATGGATTCTATTGGCTATATGGTTATGAATTAGGAATTTTGGATATCTAGGACAAAAATACAGAAAATTTGCTATTTCATGTATAGAAATTGTCATTAGTCCAATTAAATAGACTGTTATTTTACTGCAAATAACTTCAAGCATATATAACTTTAAAACAGATATTTTAGCCTAAAAAAGCCAATCATACAGTTAATATATTTTGCCTTGCTTCACCAAAAATAATAGAATTTTATGAAACCCAAATTTAGGGTTCTGAGAAAATAAAGTCATTATATTCTTTTTTCTTTCAATCCTCACCCAAACATTTCTTTTTATTGATTTTTAAAGAGAATGTCAGAGGGGAGAGGAAGGGAGAGGGAAAAAGAGAGGGAAGGGGAGAGAGAGAGAAACATTGATGTGAGAGAAAAATATAGATCAGTTGCCTCCCATGTGCACCCTGACCAGGAATTGAATCAGCAACCTTTTGGTGTACAGGACAGCACTCCAACCATCTGAGCCGGGAGACCATTATATTCTTAAAGTTTAATTTAATTTTTTTCAAATACAGTGTATACATATCTTAAGCTGTTTCATTCATAACTGAAGTGTTGGCAAATAATTAAACATATAGGTTGAAAATATATATATCTGAGATTCTAAAAATATTCTATTACGAACAGCACCCTGCAATAATTTCCTATATTTAAACAATGATGTGTTCAAGGTCCCCAGAATGCCTCAAAAGTGTAAAAATTTTTATAGATGCTTACCAACAGTATCGCATGGTTCATCTTTGTGTACACAGAAATCTTTCCTAGAAAGAAAAATATAAAATTAAACTTTTCCACAAATAATAGAGACTATGTAACTTATTTTAATATGTGTATAAATAATAAACCACTATCTTTATCTCCAAGAATAAAACTGAATATCAGATTAAATAAATAATTTTTTTAGTTCTCAGAAAATGTGAGAAATTTTTATACCTTTTTACCCAATATGATCCTGAAACACATTCTCCTACTTCATAGACAACATTTCCAAAGTAAAATTCTATCCTGTTTTTATTTTTACAGGATTTCTTTTTTTTAAATTATTATATTGATTTTTTACAGAGAGGAAGGGAGAGGGATAGAGAATTAGAAACATCGATGAGAGAGAAACATCTATCACCTGCCTTCTACACACCTCCTCCTGGGGGTGTGCCCACAACCAAGGTACATGCCCTTGACCGGAATAGAACCAGGAACCCTTCAGTCCACAGGCCGATGCTCTATCCACTGAGCCAAACTGGTTAGGGCAGGATTTCATATTTTTATTATAAAAAAATAGTGTCTGGTATTGGGAAATGCCCTCCTGTTTAAAAAATATCGTAAGATCTCTACATGAGCTAAAAATAATTTCCAGATATAAATGAGAAGTACAACTTAAAACAACATAACATTTTATATCATAAGGTTGGCAAATTTTTTAAAAGACTGATAATAATTGTTCTAAAAGAGCATGAATTTAGTATTTCTTAAGAATTTAGTATTTTTACACAACTGGGATCTAACCATGAATAATATTCTATGATTTGCTCTCTATTTGACTACTGTGTCTTAGAGAGTACTCCATAACAAAGTATAAAATTTTGAGGCACACTATCGGAAAGCAGCGGTTTTAGCATTCATACATAGAGATTAGACGTCTGCAATCACCTTGCTCTTCTTCCAAATACTTGCATTCTAATTTCTTTTTATTGAGTTATAACTGGTTTCTGATTAAGTTTAAGATATATGTTTGTCTTTGTAGTTCTACAGTCTTACTCAGATGTGTCTAGAAACCAAGTTTGTTTCTATTTATCTTCTTTGGCATGATGTGTTTTCAATTAAAGATCCATGAACACATGAAAATTCTTACCATTTCCTATTTAGCCAATTCCTCTCACATTCTCTCTTCTCTCTTCTCCTAAAACTCCTTCCGGGGCATTTAAATCCTCACTTTAATGCCTAACTCTCAAGCTCTGTTTGCATTTCCGTCTGTGAGCCATTCTGTGCAGCCTTCAGGGAAAATCCCCTCAGCTCTATCATCCAATCTACAAGCACTCCCTTCATCTGCATCTAATCTGATTTCCAGCTTACAAATTAAGATTTCAAGTATAAATACATTTATTTTATAGATGTTTCATTTTCTTTAATTTTCAAATCAACTTATTTTTAAACCACCTTTTCTAACCTTTTGGAATGTTTTTGTGTGCTTTTATAATCCGTCAGTTTTTTTAAAAAAATGTATTCTTTATTTAAAAAGTTATTCTATATTTTAAAAGTTCCTGGCTTTCACAACGGAAGCCGTTGTCCTTTGGAGTTTCGGAGCTCCGCTGTGAATCATTTAGGTGAGCTCATCGGGGCTGTCTTGTGCAGGGAGAGCTGAAGGAGGGCCACTTCCGAGCAGCTCTGCACAGGCTTCCACTCCGGCCATCGGTGGCGGGATGATGTTCGTGGTGGTGGATCCCAAGCGGGGGCTGCTTTACCTAACTTGGATTTTGGTTGAGACAAAATGCTTCCTGTTGACAACTTGTGTTTGTTTGCAGAGCTCTTACCAGATCACACTTTCATTCAAGGAACAGACATCTGCAAGTTCTGGCGGTATACCATCATTTCAGTTCCATTTCCCCACACAATCTCAGAGGATTTTCTTCATGTGGGAGCTAACCCCAAGAACCCAGATTTTTTTTTAATATATTTTATTGACATTTTACAGAGAAGAAGCGAGAGGGCTAGAAAGTTAAAAAAAAAAATCGATGAGAGAGAATCATCGATCAGCTGCCTCCTGCACACCCCCCACTGGGGCCGTGCCTGCAACCAAGGTACATGCCCTTGACAGAAATCGAACCCGGGACCTTTCAGTCTGCAGGCCGACGCTCTATCCACTGAGCCAAACCGGTTTCGGCAAGAACCCAGATTTTTGAGTCCAATGAACCTTTCCCAGGGCAGCTATCACATTACCTCAGAAGCATGCTCCTTTATTTTTATTTATTTTTTTATTTTTTGCCAGAGCCCTTTTTGTTTTTGGCTTATCTGCACATATAAAAGGGTTTTATTATATTTTTTTCTGTAATTTCTAAATGCCTACAAATGGAAATACTTTCTGATCACCTCATCAGCCAGATTATCACATAATTAAAATAAATGAACCAATCTTGACCAACCATATAAAAATTAAGCATAGTGAAACACATATTTGTTCATGGTTAACATTAGATCTTAATATACATAGAAACTAGCCATGTAAGCCTTATTCTATTATTATATTTGATATCATGCATCTACTTTTACCAAACTCTTTAAAAGACTGCATAATTACCTAAATAAGATGCTCACATGGACTGCAACTGATATGTAATATTTTTTCAGAAAATCTAAAGTGGATGATAGAGTAAGAGAATGTAAATGGCTCTGGATCATCCAAACCCAGCCGCTGAGATTTCTAGAGTTTCCTTCTTCATTGTCTTTTTTCCCCCAACCCTCCTCCCCTTTACTATCTTTCTTGATTCCTGGTTCTTTAATTCTCCTTTTGATTCTAAGTACTAAACAGAATCTCCTCCAGCTATTAAAAAAAAAAATCCAAAACACTTTTTCTGGTGTTCAACTTGGGCAAATTGGTCTCCGTGCTTCAAGAATATCACCAAATGAAACAGGAAAATATATCCCCACCAGGGGTGTAATATATTCAGAGTCTGAATATAACTACAGATAAAGAAGGATGAAAAAGGTTTACTGACATTCTTTGTTTACCGGTAAATGGCCAGGTAGCTAGTCTTTCTCTGCATCAGAAGATATAGAAATCAAATCCACCACAGGGACACCAGACCTAGGGTACAGGTTATATATTGCTAACTCTAGGGGTACATTTACAAATGCAACGATATAAATGGCTCCCTCTACTGTTGTGTAGCACACAACCTACCTATACAACGGGATATGGTAGGATTCATTAAGTGCCTCTTATATGCCAAGCATTGACTGGATCAGGGGAAGACTACAAAGATAAATAACATAGGTTTCTATTCTGAAGGCAAAGAGGATGAACACGATTACCTCTGTAGTGTGATAAGGGCCCCAGGATCAGTGAGAAAGAAGCCAGGGGAATTGCATTAGAGAATGGATAGTTCTGTTTTGCAGCTGATTTTGCCAGCAAATGGAGAGAGAAACACCCAAGCAGATGATACTGAATAATAGGATAATGCAGAAAATTAGAGAAGCACACAAAATCAAATCTTCACCTCAGGGCCAAGGATTACTGAGTATAAAGTATATTCAGATGTAGGGGGGAAAGGGATTTTATGTGCTTTTTCTAAGCGTACATCATCTAATCATGCATGAGGCTGCAACATGACTATTTGATTTACATAATGTGACGCAAGGGACTGCATCTGTAACTAAACAACATGATAAAACTATGACAAATGCACTGCTTATTGTCAAGGGCACTTCGTTCTTCATACAGCCCATTTCTGTTCGCTTAGCAAACAGATGAAGAAAGCACATTTTTTTTTTTTTCGAAAAACACAAGGTCTTTTATCCAAAAGCTCTGCAAATACCTCTCAGGACAACTGACGAATGAACATATTGTCAGCAGCACTTCAAAACTTCAGGTCAGACTGCCATTCGTAATCCTCAGTTTCTTTCCAGAGGACCAAAACATATCCTTAATTTCATAATATTCCAAGATTTATTGGGGGGCTGGGAGGTTTGTTTGCCTAGACCAGTGATCATGTGAATTCAAATTCTCTAATTTTTGGCTCCTGCTGGCTCAGTGCGCCTGAGGTCTGCATCACAGAGTTTCATTATGAGAGTTTATGGAAACGATACTGTTAGACTTTGGCAACTGGGGAAGCCAATAAATTCTGCTTAAGTTCTGATTTATACTGAAAAAAAACATGAAATATAGCCTTTAATTTCCAAGAATGAAGATGCATCTGAGAATAAGTCTCATTGTAGAGTTTTATAGTGCCCTGGGTTATACCTATAAATGACTCATTCAAATATTATTCTATGATTTGTATTAAATTAATATGTTTCTGCCATTTCTAATATTAAATGTTCTATCTTACTTGCCAATGTCATTAGTTTGAAACTAACTTTCAGAAGTGCTGTACATAAACCAGGAGCATTTCAGTAAATAGGAATGGCAAAACTATCATTAACAAAATGAAATTCTAAATTAAAGGGTGTTTACAAGATACACAGACACAGGCTTTCTCCTTGATTTAAAAGAGAAACGTGTAAATTACACCAAGAAATCAGAGTTGACAGTTTTGTGTTTTTGTTACCATGAGCCCACAAGCACTAGGTCAGCTTAAAACTATTTACTTCGTTGTCTTCACAGAACAACTTTAACCAAGATATTACTGCAGATAGGCTTGGGTTTATACAAACATTCATTTGAGTGGAGACCAAAATTAATAACTGAGCTAAAATTTCTTCCTACTAATGTTTTCCCATAACATACAACATTTAATAATTATCTAAGATGATCACTCACTAGAAACCAGGCTGGATATGACACTCATTTGTCAAACATGGATAGGCACGTGAAATCCATGGAGAGTAACACTTTTATTTTTCACAGGTTCCTTGCAGAGCTAAAGACCTGATCATCTTTATGCTGACACTAACTAAAAAGAGATTCTTCTTTCCAGTCAGACCATTCACTTAGACTTTCCTGCCAAAATGGTGCGAGGCCACATCCCCTTCAGAGGGCTGATTTCCACTGCTACGGCACTGAACTTACTGTTATTGGGAAATAGTGACCCACCGTATAAGCCTTATC